TAAGAGAGAATAGAAAAAATACAATGTTTTTTTTAATAACTGAGAACTTTCCAGAATTAAAGAGATGAATCTACAGACTGAGAGATCATACCAAGATCTGAAGATAGTAAATATCAGATAATCCACAACCACACATGTTGTAGTGAAACATCTGAGAGAGAAGCCTTAAACCTCAAGCAATGGCAATGACAAGACAACCGGAACTCTGTTTCCAAGGAGGTTACAAATGTCAGTGGTCAGTTAATCCTATCAGTATTCAAAGTTAGACCCTAGGTGTGGCCTGTGCTCTCTTAATCTGGGAGTTCTTGGGTCCTGGTACAGGCTCATAGGAGAATTTAGACAAAGAAGATGGAGAGAAGTTGGTTCCACAGGGAGAGACTCTCCTACCTTGTTCTCAGTCTTCTGCTTCCAGGTAAGAAATGGGCAACACAGGAAAAGAAGCAAGGACCCTCTCTAGGAGAACACCCAAGATGTGCTTTCAAATTTCCAACTTCTAGAAATTATCTAAGATGGGCATAGTTATTTCATAACTATGTTACCATAATATCCAAATAGGCTCTCCTTTTCTGAAAGATAGAAGATCCCCTTCTGTTGACATGCTACATAAGGACTCTTCTACTTTTTTTCATGAACCATCCCCAATTGTTTTCTCTACCATTTAGCCTCCTTGACCATCCATCTTTCTATGCACAGGTGTTAAGTCTTTCTTTCTATAGCTCTGAAACCTACCCCATTGCAGCAAAGGGCCCAATTTCAGCCATAACTTCCCCACTAGTTACTGCATCCAAGTGCTCTAGGTTAGGTAAGATGTCAGAGAGCAGCAAGTGGAGAGTAAAGTTACAGTGGGCTTTACTGGTATACTGAAGTTAACATGGTATACTGGAAAGAACATGGGATTGAGCGCTAGAAGGTCTGGGTTTGAATTTTGGTCCCTCACTTGGCTACCTGTGTAACCTTGGGCAAATTGCTTGACTTCTCAGAGCTCCCATTTTCTCATCTGTAAAATAGGGCAACCTTGAAGTGTTGTGAGGATTCAATGAGAGAGACCACACAGTGCCTGGCATTTGATAGGTGCCAATAAATGGCATTTTACCCCCTTAGGTTGTCATGTGACTTTTGAATAAGGGCGAGGTGTAGGAAGACAAAAGTATAGTTTCTAACTGATAAGGGCTTAAGAAGATTCAATGAGGAGACGACTGAACAAGAGGTGCTTTAGAGGCCAGTGCAGAGAAGAAACACAAATTGTACACCTAGTCTAGGCAGTAAAAAACATGATAAATGTTCCTCTGGCCACTCACAGTGATTGACAAATGAATATTCATTGCTCACAGAATGATCCAAGGATTTGCCTGGAAAGCAGTCATTCTGGGAAAAGATAAGGCTTGATGTTCTCATCACAGAGGTCACTAACCATCTTTCTCATTCCAGGTTGTTACTTCTCTAATAAATTTGCATTGGTAGAAAATTAGAATCTTTAATAGTCAGAAGAAAGGGGAAGACAACACCTCAAAAGCTCAAACTAGAAGGCTGATACACAGTTGAGTGGCAAAATAGGGAGAAGGAAGGTTGGGGTGGTTAAGGTGAAACAAATGTGTTCTCTTTGGGGCCCCAGGAATGTAATTCTCCATGATGGCTATTGCGGCCCCAGGGCTCAGTTTGCATAAAGATTTGGGCATGCTTTGCATGGAGAAAGAAACATTAGCAAGGAGCCCAGAGCCCTAATTCAGCTCACCATGTTAGTTTCTATCATTTGCCTTGCAGCCCAACCCTTCCTTCCTACAGAAGTGCCTGGCACCCTGATCATGGTGATCCTTTTCCCCTATTCTCCATCTCATTCCTGGGGGTATATGGTACAGCAGTATTAGACAAACCTGGGCTTAGATCAAGTCCAGTTTCTGCCTCTTATGATCTGTTTGACCGCAGAAATTTACTTCCTCTTACGGCAACTCAGTTAATTCATATATTATATGAGGATAAAAAGTTTCTACCTGACAGGGGTTTAGTTTGGGATTAAAAAATAAGGTAATCCATTTAAGGGGCTTGAACTATATCTGACACACTGTCAGTGCTCAATAAATATTAGGTATCATTAATATTGACTTCCCTGGTGGCTCAAATGGTAAAGCATCTGCCTACAATGCGGGAAACCCAAGTTCAATCTCTGGGTTGGGAAGATCTCCTGGAGAAGGAATGGTAACCCACTTCAGTATTCTCACCTGGAAAAGCCCATGGACGGAGGAACATGGTAGGCTACAATACATGGGGCTGCAAAGAGTCAGACACGACTGAGCGACTTCAGTATCATTAATATCATAGGTTACCCCCAAGCTCCTGACCTGGGACCCTCTCATATAGGGAACATAAGTGTTCTCCCCTAATTCTCACATGTTCTATGTTGACTACAGGAAGAGGCAGTACTTTCACCATCAACTGCACAGGGTTTGGCCAGAATGGGTTGTATACCACTGCTCTGGATTCAGTATTTGAGAGAAAGGCCTTCCGTCCAGTCATCAACTACAGCATCCCCACCATAGTCAACATCTCCTTCACTGTGTCTGCCATCCTAGATGTGGTGAGTACTGACTCTCTAGCTCTCCTTAGTATGCTTAACCTTTTCCCAGCTCCCAGCAAGGCAACCCCCAAACCCCTAACCACACACTGAAGCTTCCTCCATCATTGCTATAAGCATGTGCCCTGTGGGGATCCCAAAGAAGTTCTATCCAGTTCAGCAGGATGAGGTATAACCATACATGGAAGATAGTTTCTATTCTTGTCACCCACATGACTCTCTTCCCTGGCTGTACACCAATGTCCAGGCTCCACTTCAGAAGTCCTGACTGGATGAAACATGGGCATCAGAATTTTTTTAACTTATCAAGTAATTCAAAGATAGAGCCAGGGTTGAGAAGCACTACTCTAATCCAGTCCTGCCATGAACTCTTCTGCCCATGGCCTAACATATGTTTTGATCAAGATTTTGTCCTTGACCTATAATGTTGGACTTGACCACAGCACAGCTTTCACACCTTGGGGCTTGATAAACAAAAATGAGCAATGGGTGGGATGCACAGACTTTGTACCACCAACATGCTAGAAACAGGAAATTCTTTTGACAGGATGAACAGTTACAGCTCTTGTCATCATTTCTGTGGCTGGAAATGGTAAGACCAACACTGTTTATTTTCTCCCTTTATTTACAGTCAGAATGGATTTTAAACAAAGATTATGACCCTATATGTACTCCAAAACATAACTTTGAAACATATGAGAGAGAAATTTAAAAATCTACAAGCATGGTGAAAGGCATCAATAAACTGCTTTCAAAAATCAAGTCAATAAAGAATAAACATATAGTAATTTTTAAGAAACTTGATTTAATAAACATGTCAAACTTTGTACAGTGACCATGCATAATCTTTTTGACACAAATGGAATATTCCCCTAAACTGACCACATTTTTGGCCACCGAGAAGGAAAGGAAGGAAAGCAAAAATTATCTAGACCACAATCTCTGACTATAATACAAAATACAAAGAGTAGCCCCCTTCCCCAAAATCTTATTTCTTAGAAATTTAAAGTTAAATTTCTAAAATATGTTGGCCTAAAGAGAAAATAAACAACTAAGTAGAAATTAAAAAGAAGAAGATTACATATGAAAGTCTAGTAGATGTAGCCAAAGTATTGGGTTGGCCAAAAAGTTCATTCACATTTTTTCTGTAAGACATTAGAGAACAAAACTTTGGGCCAACCCAATATAACTTTGGAAAATTTCTACCTTAAGTTCTTTAATTAGAAAATGAGAGGGAAAATCAAAGTAAATGACTTCAGTTTCCACCTGGAAAAGACCAGCTGAAGGGAAGGAGAGAGGAGTGGAAGAACAGTCATGATCACCTAATCTTGCTCTTAAAGTGTGGCTCCCAGATGGGGAGCACTGGCTGATTGCACCACCTGGAAGCTTAGAAATGCACTTGATCTAGGACGCCTCCTAGTGAGACTAAAAATCCCAGCATGTCCAAGACTGAGGAATTCTCAGAAAATGTAATTTTGCTAAATCCAAGTCTCCAGCAAACCAGGATGAATTAGTCACCCTACTTACTGAAGCAGAATCTGCATTTCAACACAGTCCCCAGGTATTTCATATGCACAGTTAGGTATGAGAAGTGCTGGTCTAGTATAAATTTTTATTTAATGTGCATGTATCCCTTTGTTCTGGCTGTGGTTCCACAAACTGCAGCTTCTGACATTGTAAATGCCCAGAGAAATAGACAAGTCCCCCAGGCCTCAGAATTGGATAGTCCTTGAAAACAGTTTCCAGAAAAGGTCACCAGCTTTGGAAAGGAGAATTTGGAAAGGTCATCCCAGAGACAAGAAAGGAAGGTGCCTTGCACCTGCCAAGGAGAGGAAGACCACCAAGTCTCTTGGCTTCATAGAACCCAAGGACTTGTTCAAGGTATCCTTGCAGTAGAAACTGATCAAAGGGGCCTAGAAGACAGTTAAAACTACCCTGGAGACTAATATATAATACCTAAAAATAGCATTACAGTACACAAAATCCTTTCACATGCCTAATTTCGTTCAATCCCAGTACCCACCTCCCCTTATTTCACACAAAGGCAATTCTATCTCAGAGAGGTTGAGCCACTGACCTTTCTAACTCTGAATCTCAACCCTTCTGCAGAAAGGACAGGATTTCTCTGATCACCAGTAATTTCCCACAGAAGTGAGAAAGCAGAGGGATCAAAGTTTATGAAGAAATGGACATAAGGAGCTTCAATTCTATCTGCAATTCTTATTTCTTGAAAAAAAGCCAAAATATATTTATCAGAATACTGACTCCACAAGTTGGGTGTTAGATACACTGATGTTTGTTACATTATTTTATATACTTTTCTATGTGTTTGAAATACTTTATAGCTTCTTTTTTAAAGAAAAATTTAAAAGGCAGAGAAAATAACCCTGATTCCTATCAGGCTCTCACCTCTCCTCCATCTGGGCTCTAGGTCTGGGACAACCCATTTATCAGTTGGAACCCAGAGGAGTGTGAGGGCATCTCGAAGATCAGTGTGGCAACCAAGAACCTATGGCTCCCAGACATTTTCATCACTGAATTGTGCGTATTAAGGGCTGGGGAAGTCCCGCCTTCTGGCAACAATGGTGCACAATCTACCAAAGGCCACTTTACATGGCTGAGAAAGGAGCAGATGGGTAAGAAGAAAAAACATTGCTCCTGCCTCCCACCTCATTCCTCTTACAGCATGGATGTGGATAAGACCCCAAAAGGCCTCAAGGCATTCATAAGTAATGAAGGTCGCATCAGGTATAAGAAACCCATGAAGGTGGTGAGCATCTGTAACCTGAACATCTTCTACTTCCCCTTTGACCAGCAGAACTGCACCCTCACCTTCAGCTCATTTCTCTACACAGGTGAGCTGAAGTAGAGTCTTAGGGATAGGAGTGAATAAGAGCAACCAATAAAGCAACAGAAAATGATGTATAAAAAAGTTATGAGTAAATGGTGACAAAAGGGCTTCTCTGGTGGCTCAGCAGTAAAGAATCTGTCTGCAATGCAGGAGACACAGGTTTGATCCATGGGTCAGGGAGATCCCCTGGAGAAGGGCATGGCAACCCACTCCAGTATTCTTGCCTGGAGAATCTCATGGGCAGAGGAGCCTAGCAGGCTACAGTCCATAGGGTCGCAAAGAGTAGGACATGACTGAAGTGACTTAGCATGCACAGTGACCAAGGGCAGCAAAGATTAAGTCTGTTTGGATGCTTAAATATTTTCCATAAACTATTTCCTAGAGAGTTGGGAAAATATTGTGCATTTCCATCCCCAGCTCCTAGCAAATTTCCTGACATACAGTAGGCACTCAAAACTATTTGCTGAGAGACTTCCCTGGTGGTTCAGTGGTTAAGAATCTGTCTGCCAATGTAGGGGACACAGGTTCAATTCCTGGTCGGGGAACTAAGATCCCACATGCCCTGGAGCAACTAAGCCCACATGCCACAACTAGGACCCAATGCAGCCAAATAAATAAATAAATATTTTTTATAAAGAACTTTAAAAAATTGTTGAATGAAAGGATGGGAAAAGAGTACAGTTGAGTCAACAGGAGACTATCTTTGGAAAATTATTTGGCTCTTCCTTTCAGTGGAGTACATATCGCTGGGCATGGAGAAAGAAGTGTGGGAAATAACAGACACATCCCAGGACATCATTCAGACCCATGGAGAATGGGAGCTCCTGGGCATCAACAAGGCCACCCCAAAGAAGTCTGTGGGCACCAACCTGTACGATCAGATCATCTTCTATGTGAGCTCAGAGGCCTTTGCTTTTTCCTTCCTTCTTGCTTGTAGAGCTGCCACAATCTCCACCAAATGGATATCTCCCAAGTTTCAGGGTTTCTCAGTCTTACCACTTCTGCCAGAGACCAGAACCCTCTCTTCTTGCTGCCCAGCCACACACTCCTTCCTAAAGCTCATGGCTCTAATATAACTCTCCCTCGGCAAGTTCTACACCAAATTATGAAGCTGTCTGCACAGCTCCAGATACCAGAGTGATAAGAGACCAATGAGAAAGGCAGAGACAGAAACGGTCACTACTATTCCAAGCAGCCTCTGAATCCCATATTCACTTACCTTCCTCTCCCTCTCACCAGGTGGCCATCAGGCGCAGACCCAAACTCTACATTATGAATCTCCTGGTACCCAGTAGCTTTCTGGTCACCATTGATGCCCTCAGCTTCTATCTGCCAGCAGGAAGCCAGAACCGCGCCCCATTCAAGATAACTCTTCTGCTGGGCTACAATGTCTTCCTGCTCATGATGAATGACTTACTCCCTGCCAGTGGCACCCCCCTCATCAGTATGGCCCCTTCAGCTCTTGAGAAGAGAAGGGTGGGAAGGACTGGCTGAACTGGCTCAGGGAAGGGAAATATATTGGGCAAAAGAGGCTGTGCTTCCCAGGGTGGGATTGGAAGAGAAGAACGAAGTCCTAGCTGGTGCCTCTGGCCCTCAGGCAGGCCCAATTTCCCTCCAGGTGTCTACTTTGCCCTGTGTCTGTCCCTGATGGTGCTTAGCCTGCTAGAGACCATCTTCATCTCCTACCTGCTGCACCTTGCCACCACCCAGCCTCCACCTATGCCTCGCTGGCTCCATTTCCTGCTTCTACACTGCACCAGCCCAAGGACATGCTGCCCCGCTGTGCCCCAGAAGGGAAACACAGGCCTTGACCACCTGCCTGGTGAGGGAAGTCAGCACTGCCCAGGCTTCCTCTTCCATCACCTCCGCTTTTCTGCTCCTACCTTTTTCCCTGCCCCCACAATTCCCCAGTTGACCCTGGTGGCCCATGGCTGAGTCTCTGTCTCTCCATAGGTGTGAAGGAGCCCATGGAGTTGGTGGGAAAGTTGCCAGGTCCCAGAGAGACAGAGCTAAATGGGTGCCCTGGGTCCACGAGGGCCCAGCAGGAAGACAAGGCTCAAAAGCAGCACTTGGTCAGCCTGTGGGTGCAGTTCAGCCACATGATGGACACCTTACTCTTCTGCCTCTACCTGCTCTTCTTGGCCACTTCCATTGTCACAGTCATCATCCTCTGGAACACCTAGGCATGACATCTGTCCGCTCCCACACATCCAGCTCAGAGTTGCTCTGGCCTCCAGGGGTCGCCAGGTCTATGTGCTTGAGTCTTGTGCTTTGTGCTTTGTGTCTTGAGTACTGACTGTTTTGACCCCAAAGATGATAAAGTTTCCTGCTACATTCCATGCATCTCAATCCAGCCCTGCCGGTCAGTCTCAACCCAATTACAATTACAACAAGAACAATTCCTCTGTTCCTGCATTCTGTTGGCTTCCCTCAGCCCTCCCATGAGATTCTGGGCTCCCCTTTATATCTTCTGCATAGCAGTTCTACCTCCTCTGCCTGCTTAACTGGCCACAATAAATCATTTTGCAGACAACTCTGGCTTTTTGTCATGTTTTGGGATAAAAAGTTAACTATCCAGGACTGATAGTTTCAAAATATCATCTGTCTATCCCTCTGCCTGCAATAAAGCTTTGATGACAATTCAAAGTGACAAATGTCCTGTATTAGAAGTTTTAATTTTCTTAGGCATTTTTAAAGGTGTATTTCTTACTCGTGTGTGTGCTAAACCGCTTCAGTCGTGTCCGACTCTTTGCAACCCCATGGACTGTAGCCCACCAGGTTCCTCTGTCTATGGGATTCTCCAGGCAAGAACACTGGAGTGGGTTGCCATGCCCTCCTCCAAGGGATCTTCCCAACCCAGGGATCAAACCCAGGCCTCCCTCATTGCAGGCAGATTCTTTACAGACTGAGCCACCAGGGAAGCCCAAGAATACTGGAGTGGTTAGCCTATCTCTTCTCCAGGGGGATCTTCCTGACCCAGGAACTGAACCAGGGTCTCCTGCATTGCACATTCTTTGCCAGCTGAGCTACGAGGGAAGCCCTTCTTACTCATAGATACTTTTATTCATCTTTTTCATTTTCTTACACTAACTTCAACTTAATACTCTCCTAATTTATTGTTTTATTTTATTCTTTAATTTTCTAAGTTGAATTCTCAGTTAAAATATTCTCAGTCTTCCTATAAATTTTACTCTGACACAGTTTGAGCTGCATCCTATAGGTTTTAGAATGAAATGTTCTCTGCTTTATTAGTTCCTGGACAGTTCATAACTTGAGTTATTTCCTCCTTGATCTAAAATCTATTTAGGAAAGTGTTTCTTATATCCATGGATAAGTGGGTTTTGCTAGTGTTATCTCTTCATTGTTAATTTCTAGTTTCCTGGATTATCATCAGAGATCACAGACTTTAGAAACTTTCTGAATTTATAAAATTTCTTTCCGGCTGGATTCATGATTGATTTTCTGTTTCAGGACATTAAAAAGTATATATTCCTTATTTACATGTACTTCTGTAAATATAACTTATTGATTGAATCATTTAAATCCTCTCCATGTGTGCTATTTTATTCAAATTCTCTGAGTAGTTGTAGTTTTTCTTTTATATGCTTGACTGCTACCTTATGAGATGCATAAAAGTGTATGGTTATTATATCTTGAATTGTCCCTGATTTTATCCTTAAATAATGGCACTATCTATTCCATTCAATGTGTTCTGAACTTCATTTCCATTTGTATGATAATAACTTTGCCACTGTAGCTTTGTGTGTGTGAGTGTGTGTGTGTGTGTGTGTGTGTGTGTGTGTGCGCGCGCGTGCTGTCGTATCCAATTCTTTGTTACTCCATGGACTGTAGCCCTCTGTCCATGGAATTTTCTAGGCAAGAATACTGGAGTGGGTTGCCATTCCCTACTCCAGGGGATTGTCCCGACCCAAGGACCAAATCCTAGTCCCTTGAATCTCCTGCACTGGCAGGCAGAATATTTTTGCATATTTATTTTATTAATTCTTGGTTAATTTTGAAAAGCTATTATGCATACAAGGCACAAATATTAAAAGGCACAAAAGAGTAAAACATGTCTCCCTTCCATCTTTGTTTCCAGCCACCAAGCTCCCCATTTTCTTGTGCATCTTTCAGGTATTCATTTTCCACCTTTCCTTGTCACTTTACTTTTGATGAAGTTATATAAACAACATAAAGCTGGATTTTATTTAATTCAACATTTCTTTTGATAAATGGATTCAGCTTTGTTTACATTTAGAAAAAATACAGTTGGTTTTATTCATTCCATACATTTTATATTTATGATTATATTCCTTGGTGTTGTTTTCTCTATTTGCCATTTCCTCACTTTTGCTGGCTCAGTCTAATTTTTATTAATTTTTTTCCTCCTATAAATTTTAAGTCCTATAATACTTTTTAAGTACTTTCATGATTATGTTCCTAACAACTATAATTAGACCAATATATTTTCATTAATATCCAAAACTAAATTATTATACTGATTCCCCACCAAGACAGTTCATTTTAAGCAACACTGCCCTCCATCTAATCTTTTTCTGCGCTGGAATTTCTGCTAATCACAGGTTAGCAGATCTGCCCTCCAAGCTCTTTTTCATCATGCCCTCCTTTCTTTGTAGGTTGGTTTTGTGTTATAATCAATCTTCCAGACAAGCAATTCGGTCCTCAGTAGTGACCATTTCTACTCGTAGTTCACATATCGAATGTTTTAATTAAAAACACTTTGGGGAAAAAAAAATTAAAAAAAAAAAAAAAACACTTTGGGAAGGGCTTCCTTGGTGGCTCAGTAGTAAAGAATCCGCCTGCCAAGGCAGGAGACATGAATTTGATCTCCGATCCGGGAAGATCCCACATGCCGCAGAGCAACTAAGCCCATGGGCCACAGCTATTGAGCCATGCTCCAGAGCCTGGGAGCTGCAACTACTGAGTTTACATGCCGCAACTACTGAAGTCTGTGTACCCTAGAGCCCATGCTCTGCAACAAGAAAAACCACCGCGATGAAAAACCTGCACACTGCAGCGAGAGAGTAGCCCCTGTTAGTCAACACTAGGGAAAAGCCCTCGCAGCTACAAAGACTCAGCACAGCCATAAATAAATAAATAAATAACATTATAGGAAAAAATTAAAAAACACATTTTTTACTCTCATAAAGTCTTTAAATGTTCTGATCAAATACCTTAAACATTATCTTCTCTCTCTCCTTTTTTTTTTAACCTTTCTACTTCAGTAGGAGCCTCTGTCCTAAATATCCATCTTGGTCATTGAGATGGTTAATTTTACATGTCAATTTGGCTAGGCTATAGTACCCAGTTGTCTGGTCAAAAAATAGTCTGAATGTTGCTGTGATTAACATTTATAATCAACAGACTTTAAAGCAAATTACCCTCCAAAATGTGGGTTAGCCTCATCCAATCAGTTGAAGATCTTAAGAGCAAAAAGACTGATGTTTCTGATGAAGGAATTCTTACTCAAGAATGCAACGTATTTGTCTATTATACCTTAATAAAATAGAGTTACAACACAGAAACCCTGACTGAGTTTCCAGCCTCCTGGTCTGGTCTGTAGATCTCAAGTTCAGCACTTCAAATCAACTCTTACCTAAATTTCCAGTCTTTCAGGTTGTGTTACAGATTTAGCCTCTACAATCACAAGAGTCAATTTCTCTCTCTCTTTTTTTTTTTTAATGTTTTGACTGTGCAACATATAGAATCTTAGATTCCCCAACCAGGGATTAAACCCATGCCCCCTACATTGGAAGTGCAGTCCTCCCATGCACTGGGCCACCGGGAAAGTCCCTAGAGTCTATTTCTTAACATCTAAAGATTTCTCTCTATTTTTTTCTTCAGAAAATATACATTTTGTTTCTCTGTAGAAACAGAGAGGCCTGGTCCTTTATATGCTAAAGAGGGATATAAAAATATATAGATATTACTTTCACTCTCAAACTGCCACTCTCAAACTATTGCTATATAGCCACTTTTGAAAGTGAGCCATTAAATGTTGCATCTTTCAAAACTTTTTTGCCCCACAAATTGCAAATATAAAGAGAGAGCAAAAGAAGGGATCTATAAAGAGATTTAAGGTGTATAACTTCAATTTAATCATGATAAAATATCAAACAAACCTAAAATGACTATAATAATTTGAAAAAAAACTTCCCACACACCCAGAGAGCCTCACTGGTGAGTTCGGTCAAATATATAAAGAATAATTAATATTAATTCTACACAATCTCTTTCAAAAATTAGAAGCAGAGGGAATATTTCACAAATAATTCTGAGACCAGTGTTATTACCCAGATGCTAAAATCAGACAAAGATATTACAAAAAGAAAACTAAAGATCAATATCCCTTATGAACATAAATGCAAAGATTCTCATCAAAGTACTTACACACTGAAATCCAGCAATACATCAAGAGGATTATACACCATAAACAAGTAGAATTTATCCCAACAATACAAGGTTGATTTGACATCAAAAAAACTATTAATGTAGTACTATATTAAAAGAACAAAGGGCAAAACCCACATGGTCAATTCAATAGATGCAGACAATGCATTTAACAAAAATCCAACACCTTTCAGTATAAAAACAATCGACAAACTGACAATAGAATGGTACTTACTCTACCTGATAAAGTGCATCTGTGAAAAACCTGCTGTCATCACAGTAGATAGCAAAACACTGAAACTTTTCCCGTAAAATTGGGAACAAAATAAGGATGCCCATTTTTCCCACTTCTATTCAACATTGTACTGAGTGTTAGCCAGGGCAACTGGCAATAAAAATAAATAAAAGGCAGAAATTGGAAAGGAAGAAATAAAACTATATTGGCAGATGATAGGATCTTATAAATAGAAAATCTGAAGGAATTCACTACAACATCTATTAGAACTAATGAATGAGTTCAACAAGATTATAAGATACAAGATCAATATACAAAAAAGTATTTATATACATTAGCAATAAACAACTTGAAAATAAAATTAAGAATTATTTTTAAAAAAAGGACTTCCCTGGCAGACCAGTGGTTAAGAATCTGCCTGCCAATATAGGGGACATGCATTCAATCCCTGGTCTAGGAAGATTCCACAGACTGCGGCACAACTAAGCTCATGCACCACAACTACTGAAGCCTGTACACCCTAGAGCCCATGTTCTG